TTGCGTTCCTTTACTGAGATCCGTAAACCAGATTCCAGTGAGAGATTTGGGTTTACACGAGATATTGAAGTTATAGCATCCAATGAAACCGGAGAGGGGGATATGAATAGTAATGATAAACCAAGTGATATCTTACCAATGGCATTGCTTACTCTCTCAGATACCCTCGAGTCCATTGAAACTAATCCTCTTTTAGAAAGATACAGGGAAACAAATATTACTGGGTACATATCAAGCATTCAATGTCAGCCATATATTTTACCAGTGAGATAAATTACATGGACTTTTTTGGTTGTAACAGCAAGAATGGTGGAGAATTAAAATATACTGATACTATAGAAAATATACATGCTCAACTCAAAAAACACGATAGTGTGATCAAAGGTGATATTGATTTTTATAAGCAGAAAAACGATATCGATGAAGCCACATTGGCATTTTTCAAGGAACGTTAACATTTGTACCCGATCCAACATAGCTCAGTAATCATAAAAAACAAAAAAATATACCAAAAAATTATTGGTCAGGACCAATATCAGCACCCTTGTTAGTAATCGACCATCTAAACATACCAGGAAAATTGTAGATATTGAAAATGAAAGAGAGGTCCCTCGAAGTAACCAAGCAAAAAAACTAAGAAGAAAATAATAATATTTATATATTTGCTTTAACATGATTTATTATCAATAAAGGTTTAAATAAAAACATCAATAGTTTATTATTATATTGTTAATAAATTTTTAATAAACATAATTTAAATAAACTTGTTCGTTTTCTTAATCTGATAAACTTTAACGAATTCCATCTCATGAGTTCCACGTGTAAAATCTGGATTGTATAAATTGATTTTATATATCCAGTTATATCCATCTATACGTAAATCACCCGACCCAAACGTAGGTCCTAGTCGGTATTAATTCTACAATTATTGTTATTTTTTTTCAGTGTTGCGACTTTAACACCATCATATATATCTATATAAAATATAAAACTAATTGTTGTATTAACTATTTCTCTATCCTATGAATTATCATTATACCCCAACTATATACAAAGACGATCTTTTCTTTCCTAAAATCAATAATGATTCCTTCCCTTTACAGAAGTTATAAAGGTCTTTCCCAGACATCTTTTTGAACATTTTAATCCCAGCAAAGATCTGTTTGATATGAAATGTACATGAAAATATTGTTTTTAGAATACCTAAAAGTGAAGTATTTAAAATATTTAACATGTGACTGATATTCGTAAATCTTATCCAATTTATACCATATTTTGGTATATATCAAGAAGGATTTAATTTACTTCTAAGAACATCCTCTAGAATATCTTTGTTTATTGTTTCGTGTTCTTTCCATAGTAAATCCATAATCATGCTTTTTTCGATCTGATGCACTCTCAGGTCTCTCAACTCTATATTATA